TCACTGTGTTGGCCAGGATGGTCTCGATCTCCTGACCTCGTGATCCGCCCGCCTCGGCTTCCCAAAGTGCTGGGATTGCAGGCGTGAAAAAGTGATTTTTAAATCTTTTCCCTTTTTGTTTTTCCTTCCATGTATTCCTAGTGGTTAACTTCGTTTCTTGTTTTCCTATAGAAGTTAAAAATGTATAAATGTGAATTTTCTTATTTTCCTCTTCTCCATATTAGGGGATAGTAGTATTTATTTGTATTTTTAATTTCCTCTTCAGTGAAGAGAGGTAGCCCCTCTCATTCTGTGCCTATAGTAATTTCTGATACTTCATCTAATTGTCCTTACTCATAGGTTGCTTCCCTCTATCTCTCAACCTTGAGTTTTTCTCTATCTTGAAGAAAACCTTTACTTTTTCTTGCTCTCTCTGTTATTTGCCTGTTTGTGTTTTCTTTTTCACCGCTGAGTTTTAAGAAAAAGTTTTCCATACCTACTGCCTCTATTCTGTCACTATCTACTCTTCTTACTGCCTTGAAATCCGATTCCTAATATTATGTCTATATTCTTTTTTATTGAGATAGAGTCTTGCTTTGTCACCTAGGCTGGAGTGCAGCAGTGCACTCTCAGCTCACTGCAACCTCTGCCTCCTGGGTTCAAGCGATTCTCCTGCCTCAGCCTCCTGAGTAGCTGGGACTACAGGTGTGCACCACCATGCCTGGCTAATTTTGTTTCTCTTTCTTTCTTTTGTATTTATTTATTTATTTATTTATTTATTTATTTATTTATTTATTTATTTTACAAAGTCTTGCTCTAGTTGCCAAGGCTGGAGTGCAATGGCACCATCTCAGCTCTCTGCAACCTCCACCTCCCAGGTTCAAGCGATTCTCCTACCTCAACCTCCTGAGTAGCTGGGATTACAGGCGCCCGCCACCACGCCCAGCTAATTTTGTATTTTTAGTAGAGACCAGGTTTCTCCATGTTGCTTAGGCTGGTCTCAAACTCCCAACCTCAGGTGATCCACCTGCCTCAGCCTCCCAAAGTGCTGAGATTACAGGCGTGAGCTACCATACCCGGCCCTATATTCTTTAATGTCAGTGGTGACCTCCTAATATCCACATCCGTTTGTCTTTTCTCAGTACCCATTTCCTTTGATTTCTCTGCACTATTATGAAAAATAATTGCAATGTTAAAGAAGCAGCTGTGTTGTAGTGAGCTGCACTGAGTAAACAAGAAGTCTAGTTCATGAAATAATTGAAAAACAAGATAAGCGATTTTATACAGGAAGGTCTTGAAAGAAATAGAGTCTGAGCTGGGCCTAGAAGTGGGGAAAAGGTGAAGTGATTGTAAAGATGTTCCTGATGGCAAGAGGAATGGTTGTAGTGAAAGTTCACACTTTGAGGACACTATTTGAAATAGAGCATTCATGAGTTGGATGCAAGAAAGTACTGGGATCGGATAGCAGTAAATTATAAGTGCTATTCAAAGACATTTAACTTTTTATTCTATAGGCCACTATTTCCAAAGTGGGTGAAATATATTAAGTGGTACACAGACAATGTTTTTAATTTTAATCATTATGTATTCATGTTAATGGAAAGTAAACTATAGGTAGCACATCAAATCCAGGACTTAATGGCTATTGCTTATCCTAACTAAATGTATTTGAGTTTAAAAAAAAAAATATTAAAAAAAGATTTGCTAACAGTTATTGGTGGCTCATTATTTATCAGGCATTGTTAAAATGTTTTATATATATTAATTCAAATACCCTTTACATGAACCCAGCGAACTATTAAATACTGTTGTTTTATTCACCTGATATGTGAGACTGTAAAGGCATAGAGAGGTTTTCATAGCTAATAGGTAGTGGATTCAAATCCAGGCAAACTGACTTCAGGACCTGTATTCTCAACTATCATACCTTAAGACAGAAGGTAAATGTGCAACTGCCACAAAAATTGTGAGAGTGATAGGCAAATGGCTTGTTTGTGAAACTAAAGCTGTAGCATTAGGGAAAAAGAGCTGTTGAAGGTTTTTTGGAGTAATACTATAAACATACTGTTTGATGTGTAAATTGAAGTGATGGTAGTATTCGGAATGCATTTTGAGGGAGTGGAATTAAATTTAGGAACACCAATTAATAATTGACTATATAGGTCTAATTTGGAGAAAAGCATTTGAACCAGGGTTTTACATTTTAGGAGAAACGGAGAAAAAGGAGCTAGACTATGAGAGCCATTGTGCAGAGAAAGAATGGAAAGTAAGAAAGGATTTGAATGTGGGGAGTTTGTGAAGAGTCAAAAAATAAGTGTTTCCAGAATGAGAGCATGGTGATAACATTAAAAGATAACAAATCAAGAGAGGGATTCATCTGACAGATGAATTTCATAATAGAATTTTTGACAAGGAAGGTGAAAAATCTTAAAATGCTTAGAGGGTAGTTAGTGATAGGAAAAGCTTAGTGTGGTGGTTGGGGCTGACTGGGGATATACATTTAAAAGTTGTCTCCTTAGCATTGAGGTTTAGGTATCATGAGTAATAATGATATAGGCCTGGGGTCTGCAAACTTTTTCTTAAAGGAGCAGATGGTAAATATTTTAGGCTTTGGTGACTAAGAGGCAGAATTAAAGATAAACATGTAAAAACCATTTTTATCTCACAGACCATTAAAAAACAGACAGCAGAGCCAGGTTTGAACCCAAGCCTGTAGTAGTTTGCCAATCCATAACTTTGCCAAAAAATCCATAATTTTGCCAATCCAATAGGCTTGTTGATTATTGATCATAGACTTTCCTCTTGTATTGAAGTTTAGAGATACTCCATGAGTTATTTGGTTAATATGGAAAAGTGAGGACTTTTTTACGTTACCTCTTTGGACAGGATCATATTCTGAGTGAAATTTATTTTTTTTTTAAATGAGCTTCTCTTTTATATATGTTAGGAATTGCCACAAATTTATGTAGAAATCTTGTCCTAATTGTTAAAGACGTATTACAATAGGAGTTGGTAATTTAGCTTTGAATTTTATAAGGTTCTTAGTCAAGGAAACTTAGCTGAATAAGCTCCTTTAAAACTAATTTCTGTGTTGGGTTTTTACACTTACATAAGTCTAGAAATTGTTTATATTAGATTATTCTTTGGGTCACAGAAAATTGTACAGAATACAAGGAACTTTGGCTTAGACCCAGCTGAAAGAACACCTTTTAGTTGCTATGCCTAGATTTTATAGCTTTCCTTTTTCGGGATGTTAGTGCCCTGCCATCCATTGTTTACTGGAAATTGGCAATTGATTTTATATTTTTGCTTCTATTAAACTTCTCAGAGCTTAGATTAGTGCTACTGTTTGTTAATAGCATCTTGATCTTTTGAGTGCATCTGTTAATAAATCACTAACTGCATATTAATGACATAATAATCATCATTTTAAAATATAATTTCCTACCAATTATCACTTCCTTTCAAAAATGTAAACTAAAATTGTTATTTTTGATTTTCCAAGTCAAGTGAACGTAGAGAAATCTTTGAGGAGATTCTTAACCAGAATGGTTGATAAGGTTGGAGGAGGCATTTAAGACTTACTTTCAACACTAATAAGTAATATTTTAGCCTTTGGTAGTTATAAGATGACTAATTCTTTAAAAACTAAGAGTAGTTAAATGTAACCAAGTTGACTAAAGCTAAATGTAAAAAAGTAATTTTCTGTGCTTTTTTTTTTTTCTTTTTTTTGAGAGGGAGTTTCACTCCTATTGCCCAGGCTGGAGTACAATGACGCAATCTCGGCTTATCGCACCCTCCACCTCCCGAGTTCAAGTGGTTCTGCCTCAGCCTCCCGAGTAGCTGGGATTACAGGCATGCACCACCACGCCCGGCTAATTTTGTATTTTTAGTAGAGACGGGGTTTCTCTATGTTGGTCAGGCTGCTCTCGAACTCCCGACCTCAGGTGATCCGCCCACCTCAGCCTCCCAAAGTGCTGGGATTATAGGCATGAGCCACCATGCCCGGCCTGAATTGAAACTTACTTCGTATTCATGGTCCTACCTAAGGACAGTAAAGTTTTGCCAGTACTGCTTTTTATGCATTTGAATGTCACTTCTTTAAAAGTTCTTTGGGAAAAAGGAAGAAAAAAGACAGTTAACTTTTTATTACATGGTAATAGTAGAAATTTATTCATAGAAAATATGTCATTAGTTGTCACTATATAATTTGAAAGTTGTTATAGTCATATTAGATATGCAGTAAGTCTACTTACATGTATTCCAGGTAGCATTTAAGATTACCAAATTGTACTTAAAAGTTTATTTAAAAATATGTCTAAAATATGACAAGCCCCTATCTAGGTACCATGGATGTAGTGAAAGAAAAAGTAAAGTGATATGTTCCATAACTTGCCATCTGCCGTATTATTGTTTTCAAAGAGTCATACTCTGCTGCATGCATTTATTTGTTTAATAGTCTAAAGATTGAATTAACACCTAACGAAGCATGTGTGGCATCAGCAGTCCACTCTATACCGTGATGTCTGGTGTGTTAGTTCATCCGTGCATTGCTATAAACAAACACCTGAGACTGGGTAATTTATAAAGAAAAGAGGTTTAATTGGCTTACAGTTCAGCAGGCTGTGCAGGAAGCATAGTGGCTTCTGCTTCTAGGGGGGCCTCAGGAATCTTCCAATCATGGTGGAAGGCAGAGGGGGAACAAGACTTCTCACTTGGCAGGAGCAGGTGCAAGAAAGAGTGAGGGGGGAGGTGCCACACACTTTTAAACAACCAGATCTGGTGAAAACTCAGTCACTGTTGCAAGAACAGTACCAAGGGGATAATGCTAAACTCTTCATGAAGGATCCACCCCCATGATCCAGTAACCTCCCACCAGGCCCCATCTCCAACATTTCAGATTACAGTTCAACATGAGATTTGGTGGGAACACAGATCCAAACCGTATCATCTAGTTAACACCCCAAATGATAAAAATAACTGAACACATAATGATAGTTTATTTCTCTTCTGATTTACAGTTCTGAATGCAGTGATGGGGAATGGTCTGCTTCTTTGCCTCATCGATTTTCTGGTACAGAAAAAGATCAATCCTCAAGTGATGAAAGCTGGGAGACTCTGCCAGGAAAAGATGAGAATGAACCTGAGCTACAGAGTGATAGCAGTGGCCCTGAAGAAGAAAACCAAGAATTATCTCTTCAGGAAGGGTATGTTGAGAACAGTGAGATTTATTTTTCTGTATATTGTACAAGAGTGGTATATATCACATTCAAATGTTGGATATGCCATTAATTGTATTTATAAGCCTTATGTAGAACCAGTAGGACCCCCTGATTTTTTTATTATGCTTTTGGTATTTTAAAAAGAACAATTAAGTTGAAAACACTGATAATTTCAGTATCCTCTATTGAGACACAATGTATGTCTCCACTTTGCTTTAATAAGAAAAGTTGGGCACCTAAAATGTCATTTTGGTTAAGTTAGGAATGGGTAAATTAGTACTGTCATTGCTTAAGGGAGAAAGGACAGCCTCAAGAGGGAAATCAGTGATTCATTCACAGAAATGGAGAAAGTTAGTTGCAAAAGCTAGTGTTCATAATCTTGTCTAATTGCATTGTATGATCTCTCCAAAATATCAGTGATTGATGATTAACATTTTTGTTCTTTCCTCATTTTAATGAGAAAGCTCTAGTACTGTAAGGGTTGTCAAACATACTATGAAGGACTAGATAATAAATATTCATGGCTTTGTGTCCAGTCTGTGTTGCAGCTACTCACCTCTACTGTTGCAGTATAAAAGTAGCCATAGACAAGATGTAAATGAATGGTTGTAGCTGTCTTCCAACCTTTTATTATTTTATGGGTTTCTAGCAAGAATGTTTGTTGAATTTTATTAAAGTCTTTTTAGCATCAATGGAAATTATCATGATGATTTTTCACTTTTGCCCTGATCATGAGGAATTATTCTATAATTAGATTTGCTAATATTCAACTTCCCTTGCTCCTTGAAATAAACCAAATCTGATCACAGTCATGGTTTATTGTTATTTTAATGGGCTGCTGGATTCTAATATTTTACATGGGATTTTTATATTGAGATTCCTAGATGCAAGTTGTCTTTTAATTTTTTGTTTCAGTATCAGTTTGGTACTTGCTTTGCTAAAAGAATGTTTATGCTTTTCTTTTTCTTTTTCTGTCCTTTGCATCTGTTGCTTAGTTTATTTATTCCTTTAAAGTTTGTTAGTATTCACTTGTGAAACCATCTAGGCCTCTTGTTTTATTGTAGGAGAGGATCTTTTTGATGATAATTTTTTTCTATGATAATTGGTTCTAATTCTTAGTCTCTCATGGGAACTATTTTGGTAAATTATGTTTTTTTGGTTTTTTTTTTAGGAAAAGAACTTTTTCAGTCTAGACTAATAGTAAAACTTGTACTTCTCGAAGCATATACATTTTCAGCTTGAGATTAATCCTATAAGAAAATCTAGAAATAAAATATATAGAAAAATCTATAAAGAGAAATTCACAAACATAATTGGTTTTGACAGTGGTAGGTTGAGGTGGCACTTTTTTCTTCTTAATGAGATATATATATACACACACACACATATATAAATAGAGAGAGAGAGAGAGAGAGATAGTGTGTGTGTCTTGCTCTCTGTTGCCCAGGCTGTAGTGCAGTGGTACGATCTCGGCTCACTGCAACCTCCGTCTCCCAGGTTCAGGTGATTCTCCTGCCTCAGCCTCCTGAGTAGCTGGGACTACAGGTACCCACCATCATGCCTGGCTAATTTTTGTATTTTTAGTAGAGACGGTGTTTCACCATGTTGGCCAGGCTGGTCTTGAACTCCTGACCTCAGATGATCTGCCTGCCTTGGCCTCCCAAAGGGCTGGGATTACAGGCGTGAGCCACCACGCCTGGCCTCATGATTTTATATTTGATTGCCTTTAATCACTGTTAGTTTAGTTTACTAAGTATAAATTATTCATATGTCATTTGTGTTAGTAATTATTCACTCAGCAAATATTTATTGAGCATTTACTTTGTGCCAGGCATTGTGTTGGATATTGGAGTTGTGTATCAGTAAACAAGACAAATAACATTCCTTCATGAAGCTTACATTGTAGTAGGAAAGGCAGATGATAACCAAGATACAAACCCAGTACATTATACACTGTGATGATTACTGTGAAGGGAATAAAACAGTAATGTGAAAGAAGGTAAATAATGAAGATATTAATTAGAGTGGTCAGGGACGATGTCTCTTTGAAATGACTTTTGAGCTGAGTTCTTAAAGATGAGAATTAGGGTTCAGAAAGAACTTTCTATGCAAAAGAAAAAGCAAAAGCAGAGATACTGAATGTTGGTAATTTAAGAAGCCCAGTTTTTCAAAATTAGTCTTTTACGTTATTATAGTGCCAAATTATGGTTTTACTCACACATTTTTCATCCTTAGACTTGCTCTTAGAGCTAGCAACCTTGTTTTGATGAATCTATGATTACATATTTATTTTTTTAACCTATATTTTATTTAAAGCCATTATAACCAGCTTCCTTTTTGAACTTCTAAATATCTTCTATACACATAAAAGCATATATGTGTACACATTCCATTTCATTTTTTTTTATACAACCGGTAGCACATTGTGTAGACATATGTGTACACCTTGCTTTTGTTATTTGTTTTGTTTATAGATCTGTTTTTTAGATTGTTTCATATTCATGCATGTAGATTTCCTTTATTCTTTTTAAAAATCTGCATAGTACTACCTTGTTTTGCTTAAAGTCACAGTTTCTAAGAAGCTGTCTATAAAGTTAAGTGAGGACTTACTGTATAATGCTAAATGGGTATACCAGTTTCATTTGGTGGACAGTTTTGGTTATTGTAAGTAATGCTGAAGGAAAAAAAAAACGCATTGTGCATACTTGTTTAGGAGAAATAGCTGGAAGCCAAACCACTAGGTCAGTGAGTATGCATAAACCTAATCTATAGCTATTGCCAGGTTTCCCTACAAAGAACTTAAATTTGTCACTTTCTTACCAACACTGTATGTGGGTTGCCTTTCTTCAAAATTTCACCAACACACAGGATGTTATCAGAATTTTTTATTTTTGCTAATAGTTGAAACATAGTTGTTTTAATTTGCATTTTGCTTATTATAAATGAGGCAGAGCTTCTCTTTATATATTTAAGGGCTATTTGAATTTCCTTTTCTGCCAACCAAATATAACCTTTGCCTCCTTTCTGTTGATATATATTGATGTTTTTCTTATGGTTTGTTTTTACATTTTAAACTTCTATTTATTAAGGAAAAGCTCTTTGTCTCTCTTGTATTATAGTTCACTTTTCTCAATTTAAATTTTGTGTCCAAATTTTTGGCGTTTTGACTTTTCCATGAGTGTTTTCTTTAATGTGAATGTTGTAGAATTTATCAGTCTGTTTGTGACTTCAGGGTTTTATATCATGCTTAGAATGACACTGAAATTTTTGTAAAATTTTCTCTCATGACTCTTCTGGTACTCATTGTTTAAGTGAGGGTGGGGGTGCATATGCACATGCACTTCAAAAAAGTATAGCTAAAGTTTATTTAAGATTTAACCTCCCTCCCTACAGCCTAATACGCAGTTGTCCCAATACATTTTGTTGTTGAGTCCTTTTTTGTTTTTTGAGACAGAGTCTGTCTCTGTTGCCCAGGCTGGAGTGCAGTGGTGTGATCTCAGCTCACTGCAACTTCCGCCTTCTGAGTTCAAGTGATTCTCATGCCTCAGCTTCCTGAGTAGCTGAAATTAGGCATTCACCCAGCTAATTTTTTGTACTTTTAGTAGAGACAGCATTTCACTATGTTGTCCAGGCTGGTCTCAAACTCCTGGCCTCAAGTGATCTGCCTGCCTCGGACTCCCAGAGTGCTGGGATTATAGGGGTGAGCCACTGCACCTAGCCTAAGAAGTCCTTTTTTTTTCTTCCTGTTTTGAAATGCTTCCTTTATCTCCTCCTTATTTTCTTGATCTGTACCATTGATTTGTGTGTCTCTGTTCCTGTTTAGTTAGTTTCTATTAGGAGTAGACTGACAGTAAACAAATAAGAAAATGTTAAGCAAAAATAAATTTTATAATTTAAATAAGCAGAGTTATGTGGTAGTCAGTAACTGGAGAGCTATTTAAACTGAATGTTCAAGACAGGCCTCCCTGAGCAGGTGACTTATAATCTGACATGAACATCAAAAAGAAAGCAAGGTAAACATTCAGTGCAAGAACATTTTAGGTAGAGCAAATGGCCCCAAGGTAGAAATGATCTCCATGTGTTGCAAAAGTAGAAAGAACAGTAGGAGCCTAGTAGCTGGGGGAAGAGTGATGAGAGATGCTGTTGAGAAGTGGGCTGAACAGAAAGAATGTGTTATGTAAGGATTTGAAGGCCAGGTTAAGGAATTCAGATTTTAACTGTGAAGGGAAAGTACTCAAGAGCAGTGTTTTAAAATTCAAATAGTCAGGGATGGATTTTTCTTATGTTTCTCCTACAGAAGGAGAAAACAGAGCATAGATAATTTGTAAATCAAATAAATATGTTCCTATGTAATTAGGAACTATTTCTGTATACATATGACACTATAACTAATTTCTTTCCTTTTTTACATAATTCTGCAGTTAAGGAAGACAGTTTTTTAGGTTTATAAAAGTACCAAGAGCTTAGAACTCAACATAATCCACTTGCATGGAATAGAATTAAAGACAGTGTTACGGTATGTTTTAAAATAATAATTTTTTCTTCCTTTAAAATGTTTGTACTAGGGAACAGACATCCTTGGAAGAGGGAGAAATTCCTTGGTTACAGTACAATGAAGTCAATGAAAGCAGCAGTGATGAGGGAAATGAACCTGCCAATGAATTTGCACAGCCAGCTTTCATGTTGGATGGTAACAATAACCTGGAGGATGACTCCAGTGTGAGTGAAGACTTAGATGTGGATTGGAGGTATGTAGCATGATTTTATTAGGATGCTTAATTAGACTCTTTGAGTAGAATGAGTTCATGATTCTAAATTATGAAAATTAAATCTCTAGCTAAGAAATATTCTAATTTTTCCCATCTGTTAGTTCTCCTCTTCTTCAAAGCTCATTTCAAATGTTCCTTCCTACTTGGACCCTTTCTTGCTTCCTCCAGTCAGTGACCTCTTCCTTTGACCTTTAGCTCTCTTGAAGCTCACCTTATATCCTAGTTACTTATACACATTTTTTGAGTTTTAGATTTCTGACTTTTAAAATTTTGCTTTATATGCCCTGTAGTACTTAGCGTAATTCTTTCGAAAATAGCTTCTTAATGAATACCACTTGAATTTTAAAACCTGTGGTTGAATCAGAAAACCGTAAGAATAGTTTTCCTTCCCTGTTCTTCCTTTTCCTTCTCTGTATGTAAAATATGGAAGATAAAATTTTACTTTCCAAGAGATGTTGAAAGCATTTAATTTACTTTATGCTTGACAAAGAATAGTCAGCTTCAAATGAAAGTAACATATAAGTGAATTGTATTGTGGAATTGTTACTACTTATGATACAATGCTCAGAATTTAACTGTTTTGGTTTATAGTGTCTTTCAAGTGTGTAGTAGCCCACTGGAAGCAGGTAACTATTGAGATGTAGAAAGAGTGTCCTAACTGATCCCCCTTTTTTTTTTTTTACTTTTTCTGGGGCAAAAAAGATATCTTGATGTACTCACCCTTGTTTCTTTCTCTGTACAAATCTATTTTTAAGAATTTGTGTTGTTTTTCCAGTTAAAATTCCTTTACAGAAAATTCAGAAAAATAAATAAGAAAAAACTCATGTATATCTCCTGAATCTCTTCAGGTTTCCGGAACATATGTTTTAAGCCCTCTTTTGTGTCTTTAATTTCTCTTTCTGTGTGTGCTAGCTACTTCTCTGTACTTCTCCAGATTGTTCTAGATGGGAAACTGAACATCTTGAGATCTTCCTTGCCCTTTCCTATTCTTACTTCCCAAGGGGGGAAAAATGTGTGGAGAACAGACTTTTATTACCATTTTGGGGAAGTAGAAATGGTATTTCATTACAGCCATGCAGTTTGTAATTCTACCTTAAACATTCTCAATACTTTAAAACACATTTTCTGGCTTCCCATACGTTATGGAGAATAAGCGGCTTTACCTAGTCCCAGTCTTGCTGATCTTGATGCTTCTCTCTTTTCCTTCCTCTCTCTGTCTCCCCATTACCTTTTTACTGCACTCCTTGTTAATTCGGAAGTCTTCTGTCTCCATTATGCAAAGTAATGCCTCAAAGTGTTCAGCAGTTGAAAGAATCATCTGTTTAGCATCATCTGTGCATGTTGGGAGGCAATTATGGTTTCATATGAAGGAATTTTTTCTGTTGCACATTTTCAAGACTCTAAAAATAATTTTTTACAGCTCTGTTACGAAGATGCTCCTTCCTATAGGGGCACTCAGATTTAACGGATTTTTGACTCATTGAAATAGTGCAGTGAACTTTTTCTTCCCCATCCTGCATAAAACTTTTTCTATACTTCTGGTTTTTCCTTTAGGACAAATAATTGGAGGTGACATTACTGAGATATGTAGTATTTTTCAGGGTATGGATACATATTTCCAAATAACTTCCAAAAAGGTTGTTTTACCTAAAAATTTGAAGGAATAATGGATGTTTTTACTGAATATAATTTGTTTGTTTGAGATGGAGTCTCGTTCTGTTGCCCCGGAGTGCAGTGGTGTGATCTCGGCTCACTGCAGCCTCTGCCTCTCAGGTTCAAGTGATTTTCTTGCCCCAGCCTCCCAAGTAGCTGGAATTACAGGCGCCTGCCACCACATCCAGCTAATTTTTATATTTTCAGTACAGACAGGGTTTCACAATGTTGCCCAGGCTGGTCTCAAACTCCTGACCTCAAGTGATCTGCCCTCCTTGGCCTCCCAAAGTGCTGGGATTACAGGTGTGAGCCACCGTGCCCAGCCTCTGAATATAATTTGAACTTAAATTTGAGAAACTATTACTTTAGGTTCTAGTTCACTGATGATCTTTCTAGATATGGCTGTTGTGTTAAGGTTTTAGAAACCTTACTAATGGTCTAAAACTGTACAGAGCTTCAAAGTAGGTTTTTTTTTTTTTAATTATAGAAACATTTTAGCATTAATTTTAAGACACAAATTTTGAAGGTTGCTCTATGTCCGCACCTCATTATTTGCTTATATGGTACTACATTAATTTATGTGGCAATGTCTCAAGATTGATAAGATGAAAATGTGGTTTCATTTCTATATTAAAATAGCATGCTATGGGTAAAGCCATGGCAAAGAGCAGCAGTTCTTGTCTCTAAGGTCAAACTTTGGCACACGTTTTTTCATTTCACCACTGCTTAGGAAAAAAGTGAAGCCTTTTGGTTCGTTAATTTAGTTTAAAGGAAAATGGAAAAAGTCCTCTATCAAGTTTATTTACTTGTTTTCATTAGTTGCATTAGTTACAAGTTGCATTAGTGTTCAGAATACTAAAGAGTACCTGATAGCTTGGTGTGGTAGGAAGTGACACAGAGAAATCATCGTTTTAGATATTGACAAATCCCAACTCTACCATTTGTTTTTTGATAACTCCTTAACTTCTCTGTCTTCCTGTAAGAAATTGAGTTCTTATTAACCTAATAAGATTGTGAGAAGTTAATTCTGTGTGGATATAACTGTGGCTTAATAGAATTTTTTAATAATTTGAAATTTTAGACTTACAGAAAAGTGACAAAAATAGTACAAAAATCCTCATATATCCTTCACTAAGGTTTCCTAAATGCTAACATTTTAAAACCACGTTTGTGTTACCATTCTGTCTTTCCTTTCTTTCTACTTATAGTAAGGTTTTTTTCTGATCCACTTATGAGTAAGTTGCAGGCATGATGTCCCTTTCTTTACTTGTAAATATTCTAGAATGAATTTCCAAATCCAAGACCACTTTCTTACATAACACAGTAAAATTGTCAAAGTCAGCAAATTAATGCTGATACAATATCATCTAATCTACAGACCTTATTTGGATGTTCATAGTTGTTCCACCAGTGCCATTAGAGAAATTTTTTTCTGGTCTAATCTTTGTATTAGATTTTTCATTGTATTTAGTTAATGAGTTTTTTTAGTCTCTTTTAATGTGGATATTTCCTTAGTCTTTGTTGTTCGTTATCCTGAGATTTCGGCAACTAGGAGTTGCCGAAGCTATTTCATATGTGGATCCTCAGTTCCTTACCTACATGGCACTAGAAGAACGGTACAGGTCATTTATTTTTTAGAATGTTCCTTAGGGTGTATTTGTCTGTCATGAATAGATTTGAGTTGTGAATTTTTAGCACAAACACCCTAGAAATGATGTTTTGTCCTTTGCAGTACATATCAGAAAATACGTGGTGTCAAATCAACCCATTACTGGTGATATAAAATCTGATTTGGTTATGATGTTATCTTTCAGATTTCTTTACAGTTGGCATTTATCCTTTTATACAGCTGACCCTTGAACAACACAGGGGTTAGGGGTGCTGATCCCTGTGCACTAGAAAATGCAAGCATGATTTTTGACTCTTCAGAAGGTTAACTACTGATAGTCCACTGTTGACCAGAAGCCTTATGATAAAGTAAACAGTTGATTGCCACATATTTTGTATGTGATATGTATTACATACTGTATTCTTACAATAAAGCAAGCTAGAGAAAAGAAAATGTTAAGAAAATCGTAAAAAGAGAACATATATTTATTCTTCATTAAGTGGAAGTAGGTCATCATAAAGGTCTTCATCCTTGCTGTCTTCATGTTGAGTAGTATGCTGAAGAGGAAGAGGAGGGATTGGTCTTGTTATCTCAGAAGTGGCAGAGGTGTAAAAAAAACTGAGGTTAAGGGTACCCACCTACCCAGCTCAAGCCCCTGTTGTTTAGGGGTCAACTGTAGTCAATAGGCTTCTAGCGTGAAGATACTTTGAGACTGTAAATAACATGTTTTTTCTTAAACTGTCAAACTTCCATCCACTAGTTTTAGCACCTATTAGTGGTTCTTGTCTGAAACAATTTTTTGTTTTTTCGTTTTTTGTTTTATGTTTTTTTTTCAGACAGGGTCCCATTCTGTCACCCAGGCTGGAGTGCAGTGGTGCAAACTTGACTCACTGCAACCTCTGCTTCCCAGGCTCAAGTGATTCTCCAGCCTCAGCCTCACGTGTAGCTGGGACTACAGGCATGAGCTACCAATGCCTGGCTAATATATGTATTTTTTTGTAGATACGGGCTTTCGCCATGTTGCCCAGGCTGGTCTTGAACTTCTGAGCTCAAAGTGATCCGCCCACCTTGGCCTCCCAAAATGCTGGGATTACAGCCACTACACCCGGCCTGAAACAGTTATTACCGTGGTGACTGCCAAGTACATGATCTTAGAATTTTTAACTGATTATTTGTAGTGGGCCAAATTACAACTGGATATTATGCTTTGAGTGTCTATATTTGCTTAGCCTGGAGAAGAAAAGAATTATTGGGAGATAGTTGTCTTCAGTCGTTTGAAGGGTTGTTTTGCAAAGAGAAGGAAGACACAATTTATGTTGTTTCAGCAGGCAGAATTACAGCAACAGAGCAAAAGTTACAAGTAGGAATACTTAATATGTTTTAAATTCCTAGTAGTGCTGTCCCGCACTGGTACATACCACCTTAGAAAGCAGTATATTTTCTGTGTGGAAGGAATGTTTCTTCTGTTTCTTGAATGTCTACTATGGTGCCATCCCTGTGCCAGGCACCTTTGCACACCTACTATGTCTTACTGACTTCAGGGCTCTTTCTCTTTGTATTACATCTTACTGCTAGATGAGGGAGTTTCAGTATTTCAAGGGTGGATGGATTCAGTAATTCTTAATATTAATTCCAAAATCTGTGATTATATGAGCATGTCTGTTGCTTTGTATCATGTGATACTTGGTTTCCAGATACTGTTAAACTATAACATATTCTTTTTAAGAACCTTTTTTGTGTCTCTCGGCGATAGATGGGTAATTTTAATTATGGCACATGGGTTGACATCAAAATGATTTTTGAGCTAGGTTGTTTGTGGATGTTTAGGACTATGATATTAAAATATGATAGGATATGAAAGTCAACAAGTTTGTCTTTAGACAAAATAAGCTCAGTTTAGGATCTCTTGTACTTAAGAGGTGGTAGGAATACATCTACTCAAAGTGCCCCACAGACAACTAGAAATGTAGGTCAGGAGCTTCAGGGGAGTTTAGGAATTAGGTAGAGATTTAGGAATTACCTGCAGAGAGGATAATTGAAGAAAATGGGCTTGAATATATTAATAGTTTCCAAGGGAGCAAGATTAGAGAGAAGAGGACCAAGGACATGCTTACGGTTTTCAAATTTTGAAATACTTAGTATTTCCAAGACTAGAGGAAAGGGAGGAATCTCGATGTGTTCAGGGGTGGAGGAAAGAGAATAGGACCAAAGTGAGACATGTTTTCCTTCTAGGAGCTTAATGGTTTTTAAGAGAAAATTATAATAAAAATGAGCAGTTAGGAGCTAGATATTTTTCAAGCTGTATAGTAATGGATGTGGCCTAATCTTAGAAGAGGAGATGATAGATTAATGAGAAAGGCTTGAAATAATAAAATATTTTAAAATCCAGAATTATTCAGCATTACAAAATGAGAAAAGAAAAAAGAGGCCATGAGTAATGATAGAATTAAAAAATATATAGTTATTTTCTTTGTCATACTCTCACCTACATGCAGATTGGAAACTGAAAAACAGAAGAAATGTGTGGGAAATAATCAGGTGGGAAAATGTACTGTATCCCTCAACTGAAATGCTTGGTACCAGAAGTGTTTGGAATTTGGGATTTTTTTCCTAGATTTTGGAATATTTGCATATACTTCCAGTTGAGCATCCCAGATTTGAAAATTCAAAATCTAAAATGGTTCAAAATCTGAAACTTTTTGAGTGCCAGTATGACATACAAAGGAAATACTCATTGGCACATTTTGGATTTCAGATTTTCAGATTTGGGATGCTCAACCGGTACCTTTAAGCAGTCTCTAGAGTTGGAGCCAGAAACACAAAAGAGAATTTTTCTATAAACTTTGTGCATTGAGTTTGGCAGCCTGTTGGATGAGGTAGTAGTATCTTAACTACTTATCTTCAGCACCTCACTTTTCTGTTGGGTTCCTCCTGCCCCTAACCCTACAAGTTGGTATTAAAATATTTTAAGGTTTTCTGTTCACAGCATGCTTATCGGCTTGTCAGTATGCTAATACAATTATGTCATCAGCATAAGATTTCCCAAATCATAGTGGTGAGTTTTGTTTTTTTGTTTTTTTTTCTTTTTTTTTTTTTCAGCCTATTTGATGGCTTTGCAGATGGACTAGGAGTTGCCGAAGCTATTTCATATGTGGATCCTCAGTTCCTTACCTACATGGCACTAGAAGAACGCTTAGCCCAGGCTATGGAGGTATGTTCATAACTCTAATGTCCATATATAAGTTGATGGGATGCAAAATGATAAAGGTTTAAAGGGATTTTGAGACTATTCTTAAGAAAAGGTGAATCTTTTTCCCATCAGTTTAGTAACAGTTATTGAATAATAATTGTCACCAGTATGTGTGTACATATTATACTTGGTGTCCTGCTAGTTTGCCTTAAATTTCAGTATTTCTCAGTTTTTATTGCAGGATGGAAAATGTTTTGCTTACATTTAGAAAATAATACCTTTTTCTCTATTGAATTATACAAGTACGAGAGTGAATATCTTATATACACATGCACAGGTGTATTTGTGAAATGCAGTTGAAGCTAAGGATATATTACAAATCTCTTTTTTTCTCATGGCTTCTAAATACTCTCCGGCTGCCTAATGCAGTTAGGAAATTTGCTGCTCCTTATCCCAACAAACATATACACACTTTAATAAATGGGGCATATTTGCTGCCTAAGTTTCTCTTGCCTTCTTTTCATTATTTAACTAAAACAGAAAAACTTGTTCTTAAATGTTATTTGCCTAAGTTCAAAGCCCAAGTATTTTCGTGTTTGGGAACTACTACTGTACCAGTGGATTTCATTAAAAGAAATCTTTCTTTAAATCACTATTTCCAAAGTGATTTCCAAAATATAGGTACAGAAATGACTGGTGAATGAGCCACAGGTGAGAGGACAAAAAAGTTGGTAAGAACTTTTAGAAGCATTATAATATATTTTGTCTTTAAATTTTCTGAGATTAGAAAGTCCAGTTTATGTATTTATTTATTTTTGAGACAAGATCTCACTCTGTCACCCAAGCTGGAGTGCAGTGGTACAGTCATAGCTTACTACAGCCCTGAACTGCTGGGCTCAAGCGATCAGCTCACCTTAGCCTGTCCCAAGTAGCGGGGACTACAGATATGGGCCATCAGACCTGGTTTGGGTTTTCTCTGTTTTTTTTTTTTTGGTAGAGATAGGGTCTTACTATGTTACTACGCAGGCTGGTCTCAAACCCCTGCCCTGAAGCAATCCTCCCACTTTGGCCTCCCATAGCACTGGGATTATAGACATGAGTCACCGTGCCCAGCCAGAAAGTCTACTTTAGATTGACAAATTAGGTAGCAGGTACCTATCTAATATTGATATATTTAATAATATATTTATATATCTAATATATTACCTCTCTAGTATATAATATATAATATATATTAGATGTATTATATCTCTATTAGATATATTTGTCTTTAAATTACCTCTAATTTGTAATATATATTATATACTATATGTACTATATATTACATATATAGTATAATATATATAGCTATATATAACATATCTAGTATATATAGTATATACTATATATAATACATAGTATATATTAGCTATATATAACGTAACATAACAGTATATATTAGCTATATATAACTATATGTAATACATAGCATATACATTAGCTATATATGACATCTGTAATATCTATAGATATTAGATACAGACATCTATAGATATTAGATACCTATCCATTTGCACACACACATGCATGCATGCATGCATATACATGTTCACATACATTTATGCTAGCTCTGCTTTGTCATCACTTTTTTTACATATGTAATTGTCCATGGAGATTGCTTTCAGTTATGCTTTACAATGAATGTTTTTCTCAAAGTAACCATAGCAGAAATACTCTATACTAGGAAAAAAGTCAGAAAGAACATCATGAGATAGGATACACTTAGGATTTTTGCCAAATTATTTAACCTGCCTTGGCAAATTCTGACACATAAGAAATAATGGTATAGCATGGTAACTTGCATCAGAAATATATAAAGATTAAGGATCACTCATTTCCTTGTGCTAGGTCTGTTCTAGGGTCTGATTTCACAACATTTAGTCTTTCATTTTATGCTAATGGTTTATGATTTCCTATAATACGGAGATAACTTTAAAAGTGTTGAGAATGAAATGTTTTATTATTTATTACTAGTGGGGAATGTGACATTTGGCATCTGGAAAGAAGAGCCAGAGAGACTGGTCTTGAGAGGTCATGCTAGGTAAAGGCACTAGTGGTGAACTAAGACAAGAGGCAAGTAAGAGCTTACAGTCTCAAACGTTGTTGGCTTCTACCAGTAGTGAACCCAGTGGCATTATTCCTACCAGTCTATACTTATGCCTCTGTTTAATGGCTTTAAGCATCTCTCTTCTCTAAGGCTTATCAGCTTCTTCACAGTTTAGTGCTCTGATTTAATTTATTTGAATTTGATTGAAATATTTCACTCCTAGAAAATCAATACAGTTTTCTTCCTGTCACTCTCCAGAAATCTTATTTTTCTATGTTCAGTATGCATTTATTTAATCATTTTTTAAAATGAAACAAAAATAATTTATGATGATTTCTTTTATATTTAACACTAACACTCTTTAAATGAAACAAAAACAAAACAAACTGCTTGTTTTTGTTTGTTTGTTCCTCAAGCAGCCCTGTAAGTTTTTGGAAGTAGTTGCTTTCATTTCTGGTATTTTTCCAATACTAGATTGATCGTTCTTTTCAGGTAGTGGCTTTTGGTGAAAATACTGGCAGTATGTCTTTGTCTCCTTATATCTGTGTCTCTAATTTGAGTGAGGAGAGGATAAAACATTAAACATCTTTAACTTTTTGAAACTTTTCTACTTCTCAAAATGGATTTTAAAAAAATCCCCTTGCACGTTTATGTTGACATCTAAAATTTTTCAGCATAAATCTAAGTAGTATTACTTACTTTATCGTACTTCTTCGCTAGAAAAATGTTTAAAATTTTTAATGTAAAAAGTGGCTAAATTGAGTTACAATTAATAGTATCCAAATGATCAAAAATAAATTATGAATTTTGATAAGTATTTTGTAGGAAATGCATCTAATGAGATGGAGGCATTTTCCTTTCCCAGTTATGAGTGAATTTTATTTATTACTGAAATAAGAAACATTTCAGCATAAGTTTTACTTTTGATTTTCATCTTATGAATGTAAGGTTGAAAAATGTTGTTCACCTAAATAAATTAACAGGAATGGAAGGAGTTTATTATGACATTGTCACTGAATTCTTTTGAGATATTTACCCAGAATCACATCAACTTAAGTTGTTTAGATATTCCTTAGATTCGTTCAGTTTTGTTTGTTTGTTTGTTTAAGCAAGGGATTGGAAGTCACCCAAAAGATTTGTTAGTTAGTCATTAGAGTTCAGTTCTACCTCCATACTTCAGATTGTCCCCCTGAATGGGTAAGAAGTGTGCTTTTATTTATAAAAGTGGAAGAAAGGTAAGTATAAACAGAATGTTAGAACAGAGAACCAGCATGATATACTGCAGGTGCATTCTTATGTGGATCATTTTGAAGAAAGATTACCTATGAAAGGTTATTGAAACTGATCATCTTAAGACTGCCCATACCCACGGGCCCCTTGTAAAGTCTCTACATACAATAGCACCTATATATACCCAGGCGTAGGCACTCGGAAGGCAGTAATGTGGAGGTTAAGAAGAGTTAGGCTATGTGACCTTGGATAATTCACTTAACCTCTCTAAGCTTTAGCTTCCTCATTTACAAAATGGGAATAATAAAATCTACCTGATGGGTTTTTGTGAGATTGTGTTAAAGCCTTTAGCAAAATACCTGCTTGTATTGGGGAGCTCTCAGTAAATGGTATATTCATACAGGTTTATTCAAATCAACAGTCAACCAAGTGATGTAATCAGTGAACAAATCTGGATTCAGTGATGGTCATTCAGAATCAGTATTGCTATCTTCATTCTTTAAAAACTGAATTGTATTTTATTCTTCAGAACAAAATTTTGTGCTGATAAAGGATTATACTATTTTAAATGCTACTTTAAAATGTATTCTAGATTGGGTGATTTAGGCTATTTAGTTGTCTTTCTGACTCTTGGACTAACTATTGTAAATACATTGTACTGCCTAAAGGTGTAGATAGTTTTTTGTTTTTTGTTTTTTTAATTTTTATAGATTTTCATAGCAGTGGCTGTAAAATGCTATCTTTTGCTTGTGTTGCTTATAAGTGATCCTGGATTATCTTAAATATATGACAATACCAAGGCAATAAGTTATTTTTACATATGTGAAATTTGAGGTGTTATTAGCGCTGCAAATGTGCAGATAATCATTAGAAAGAGATGATGAACCCATTGAGACAAACATATATCAAAGCATAATTAGCCTGGAATAACCTCCCCAAATGAAAGTTACTATAAATAATATCCTTTGTTTCTGTTTATGTGTAGCACAGATGAGTTCTTGCAAGCAGGTTCTATCTTCAGTAGTACATATGGGAAATTGGAGAAGATTCATAATTATAGCTATGTGAGAAGGAAAGGGACAGATAACAGGATCTTACCTTCCATTTCCTGTCTTGCAATGGGAAAGTTCAATATAAAGAATTCTAAACTAGAACAAAGAAGTAGAGTAACAAGGGATTGGCTAGGAGGAAATAAAAATAATTCTAAAGAATATGTGAAAAACACATGTAAGGAGCAACCACCACCTGTCAGGCAAAGCTAGGACAATCCAAGGAAGAGTGCCTAGTCTACCTCAGGGCTGAGGTCCAGACCTTGATGGAAATGGCACCGCTGTGGCTTGCTATATGAGAGAGAAGTCACTGTGGTATGTGCTGGTATAACTTGCTGGAAGTCAGCTCTCTTAGGGTGCTGAGGAGAGCTATTCATAGGAAGGTGTCTGAGTGGAAGCACTGTGCTGCAGTACTGTCCAACATGGGTGCTGGGGGAGGCTGCTCCCTGCTAAGTGCATTACAGGAACTGGCTGCTAGGGAAGCTGTGTGCACTGTAGGAGTCTAGTACTAGAAAAAGCTATGAACATCACACTAGTCCCGGTGTGCTCTGTCAAGCAAGCACACTGGGACAGAAGGAAAACCCTTTCCTCCAGCAGTGTTCTTCAACATCCTCTGTGAACAAAGCTTAGCATCATGCCAGCTGTTAGGAGGGAAA